TTGTATATACATAAAACGATTGGCCTATTTGTATTGCTTTACCTTTTGTAGCATTCTACTTCGATTTTAAACAAAAAAAAGGACAAAAATAAAATGCTATACATCCACATTAACATGATTGAAACACAATAATTTTCAAGTTTAACAAAAGCTAATAGTAAATAGCATAAATATTATCCTAAACATAACCAAGAACTTATAACTTTGTATGATTAAAAAAATCATACACAACCAAAAACTCACAACTTCTACGTATAGAAATTAATAACCCTAAAGTTTCAAACACATTTAGACAAATATTTATGAAAAAACACAGCCAAATCATCAAAAACTGATTCTAAACTTTCACGGTACAAAAACTGAATCTAAACTTTCACAATAATCATAGATAAAAAAAAATCAACACAGCCAAGCCACCGTTCATACCAATTGGAGAAGTCGGGAACGCCGGAAGCAAGAAATCACCATTCGCCAGAAGTGAGAGGGAGCTCGCTGACCTGCAATTGAAGATAATAGATTTAGAAAAACTGAATCAATCGGAGCTGAGAGGAAAATGGCATAGTGAAAGGTTGAAGAAGCAGACGAGAAAGAAACAATGGGCATTACCTATCGACTTGTAGGCACCGACGAATACGTCGGAACTCGTGAGAGAGAAACTTGAACGATAATTGTTGTTGGCTGCATCGGCTGATTGGGAAAAAGGGTTTCTGATCTTTTAAATTCGGCGAAACCCTATAGCCACGACTTATCGTCCCTATAGCTTTCTATAAAACGACGACGTAGGGCTTTTCCCATATAAATACATTAAAAACACTAATATATTTAAATTTATTTATGTTTGGGACGATATGTTGTCCCTACAACTTTTCAGATACCCGCAAAATATTTTTTCGTTCCCGCTCACCTATAGAGATAATTTATTTTTTGGTTTGTCGCTTTAGGTTCGGAGGTCAAACTTAATTTATCAACTCTATAGCGACGACTTGTCGCCCCTATATGATCCTCTAAAGCGACGACATTTGTCGCCCCTATAGCTTTCATCTCTATAGAGCCAAATTCTTGTGGTGATGGTTTAATAGTTGAACAAACGAAGTAATTCAAGAACCCTCCATGGCATGGATGGTTTTGGAGGGGTTCCTAACGTTTTTGGAAGCCTCGTGGATGCAGATAAGGAAATGATTTTAATTGAGATTAAATCTATTATTTAATCAATTCAAATCTGGCTTGGTATGGAAGTTACCTAAACTATAAATAGGACCCATTGGCTCGTTATTTTTGTTCATACCTTTATTATAAGGCTTAGGAACAAAATTTCCTTCTCCCTCTATCTTTCTCCTCATTATTTTTGGGTTTCTATGGTTTTAGGTACAAACCATTAAAGGCACTAAACTTTTGGTGCTTGCTTTCCAAGGTTTTCAAGAAGGAATTTTGTTTCTTATTTACTATAACAATTAAAAGGTATGTAAACCCTAAGTCTATGCTTATTTTCGATTATTATAGAGTTCCTTTCGGGTTCTTGATGTTCATAGTTTATTGATATCAATAGAGAAAACGTAGATCCAATTAGGTTGCATCTGAACTTAAGAGTTAAGTTTTTTTCCGCCTCATGCAAAGATTTGTAAACTATAAAACCCATCAAAAATTAGAACCGATGTAATGGGTTCCTGCCTCCAATCCCAAAAGAGGATTTCGTTCTTGATACGGTCAACCACGTAACATTGTTTCTTTTATTTTTCCAATTCATACAAGTTGGGAAATTGTCTTTTATAAGCACTCGATCATTCTTATCAAGTGATAATCACAAATAAGGGTATGGTTTTTAATCTTGGGGAGGAGAGTTATAAATGATGAGTTACACCTGCTAGCCAAAGTATCGTATGTCTCCAAATTTTTTACATAATCCATAAGATCATCCCAAATGGTGACCCAAAAGTTTTTTAGGAATTTAAATGTGAATCCAACACGCTCAGGGGCATGATCACTCCCGCTAGCCCAAATCGCTTCTTTGATCTCCTCAATCAGGAGTGACGACCCAATGGACGTCACAACTGAGGAGATAGTGGAGCGGAAGTTTGAATTGATCAGTTTCAACCTAGAAGTCCAAGTTTCATAAAATTTCTCCTAGAAGAATCGATAGTTTTCACCTTTTATTTGAGAGACATCAGATATCCAACAACCATTTATTAGTGAAATGTTTATTCGATTCATGATATTTTTATTGTTAAAATTAAAATACCCATGAAAGAATTTCAAGTCTAAGGTAGCCAATCCCTCCATTTTATTCGAGCGTTTTGTTTCAAATCTAAGGTAGCCAATCTCTCCATATCTAATATTTTCTGGATGATGCTATTACACTCCTGTAATCCTGAATCGAGAAGAATCTTGGTTTCGGTACAATGTCAAGTTTATGAACCTTTGATTTCAGAACATATACCTTCTAATTTTTTTAAGAAAAGTCAAATTCCTTTATTTGCTGATTGCTTTTTTAGGATACATAAGTTTAGTTGCCAAGTACCGATCAACAATACCATTACCTTTAAAATCATCATGTGTTGTGTTTTCAATCTCGTTGATGCCATCTTTTACTAGCCACAAGTTAAAGAATTTAAAATGGAGGGGAGGGGAAAAGTCGGCAACATGGGAGTTTAGTTGTCCGGAAAATGGTCCGACAGTTCGCGGGGTAAGCACTCACCACAAAAGATGGGTGAGATGAAAGCAAAGTAGAGCAAATGAGAAAACGATCTAATTTACTGATTTTCGCTCAGAAGTATGTGTATTAATGTTCCTCCCAATGAAATTAAAATGAATTCCATTTCTCATCACTAGTTTTGTAATTTCCATCTTAATTATCAAAGAGTTATATTTTATTATTTTATTATTATTTTTATTCTAACAAGAGCCTAGGCCAAAAATTCCTACCACTCAACTTTGGGTTAATTCTTAGCATTTGATAATGGGATAATGATTTGAAAGGTAATAGACTTTCAACTTTTTCGCATTTTGTCATTGAATTTTTTTCGTTCTTGATTTACACCTTTATTATTTGAATTTGTTCACATTTTACCCTTATGACTAGTTACAACCGGTCATAAGGGTAAAATGTGAACATTTCAAATAACTCATGGGTAAATCAAGCACACAAAAAAGCTCAGTGACTTAAATATAAACTAGTTGAAGGTTTGTTACCCTTTCAAATCATTATCCATTATTATAATCATCGCTTATTTTATTTTGATGTGTGTTGTGTTTGTAAGGAGTATTATAGAATAGAATGTGTATCACAAAATCATGTTGTAGTTCATTGCTTTAATCCTAGTCAATAAGATAAACTTTTTAGTAGAGTTTCTTTATTCACGTATAAGTGAAACGCCAACCTACAAAAAAGAAATAATCAGTAGAGTTTCACAAAGGCAAAAAGACACATATACGAACAATAAAACGATATATAGATCGAAAATCAAAAGGAGCATGGTGAGAAGATACATATACAACCAACATACAAATAGAAAATGTAGATATAAGTATTAAGTAGGAAGAAAAGTATCGACAAAACAAGTTGAAAGTAAAAACAGTGAAAACTAGGCAAAATGCACAAACAATGTAAATGCAACTAGCGCTTAGATTGCTCATGTATTACTCCACGACCTTGATCTTATGCATCCACACTCTCTAATCAAAGCTTGAATCCTTGTAAAGAGAGAAATCTCATTCAAATTTAACATTGCATTATCTTCACACTTCTTTATCATATGTTCTCTCTTCCTTGCATGATCTACAACGACCGTCTCCACCCTGTGGAGTGAAAACGGGCCTATGTCCTACGTATATGTTTGAACCCACCACAATCTTTGTTTCTTCAATTTTTATATGGTTAAAGTCGCTTCTATTGTATTTCTAAGTGTTATCTTTTGTACTTTACACAATAAAGACCTATCAAACGATTACTATACCTTTCTCACTTTTGTGACATTTATATTCAGCTTGTGCTCATTTTTAATAACATTTAGAACCATTTACACAATAATGGCTTGAAAGAGCAACAAACTTTCATTTTTTTCATAATTAGTTATTACATTTTTTCGTACTTGATTTATCCCTGAATTATTTGAAATCGTTCACATTTTATCCTTATGACCGGTTATAACCGGTCATAAAGATAAAATGTAAACAATTTCAAATAACCCAGGGGTAATCAACCACAAAAAAAAATTACAGTAACTAAATATGGACAAAATTGAAAGTCCGTTATCCTTTCAAGTTATTATCCGTGTGATAGTTTAATTTAAACTTTGTAAAACTGACCCTTGGTTATACCAATAACTAATTAGACGATATGTTATTATTTCTTTGTTAAAAAGATTATATAATATAAGGTTATTAAAAAAATGGTGAAAAATGAAGTTTAAAACATGCGATGGAGATGGAGCACTGCATTGATTTCATTAGCTTACCTGTAAAATTGTTTGTTTTTGCAACTCCAGCTGTTGCTTGTTTTCTTGTGGAAATTTCTCTCCACCCTACGTCCCCAATCACACTTCCCTACCCTCCCATGGTATATTCCAAACGCTTTTTCATTATTTTAACCCAACACCCACCACCATTTTCATCTATATAATCATCCCTCTTCCTTCCTTCAAAAATCTCTTCCTTCCATCTCTCTTTCCCCTGGTGTTTCTTGATTCAATCATCTCTTCTCTTCTTCTTTTTCTTCACGTTCAACGTCGAATCTATAGATGTTAGAGATTGATGTCTCCTGTTCTTAGTGAAATTCTCAGGTCCGGCTTTACTATCAACTCCTCCCTCCGTCGCCGGACCCATCTTGTTCAATCTTTGTCCGTCGTCTTCCTCTACTGGTTCTACGTTTTTTCATGAACAACCCTTCAACCCTCCGCCTACATTAATACAGCTTCATATATACATATCTATATCTATATCTATCTAGCAAAACAAATAAACCGTATTCATATTACTCAAGTTTTTATTTTTTGGTTATTTTTGGTATGGCTTCTTCAAGTGGGAATTCATCTCAGATCCAAAACTCAGGATCCGATGAGGATTTACTTGACCAAAGGAAGAGGAAGAGAATGCAATCAAACCGTGAATCTGCACGAAGATCGAGAGTAAGGAAACAGAAACATGTTGATGATCTCACCGATCAAATCAACCAGATCAAGAAAGATAACGCCCAGATCGTCACCACCATTAACGTCACCACACAACAGTTTGTTCATGTGGAAGCCGACAACTCTGTGTTGAGAGCTCAGATTGGTGAGCTCAGCCAGCGGCTGGATTACCTTAACGAAATCATTAATCTCATGAACAACAACTGCACAAACACTAATTGCACGAATGGTGCAAGTACAACTGGGCTTTTTGAGTTTGAAAATCACGATGATTTTATGAACAATCCATGGAACTTGATGTACCTCAACCAACAGCCAATCATGGCTGCTGAGATGTTACGGTACTAGTCATTAATGCATGCGGTACAATGTACTACTAGGGTTAGGTTTGATGGTGCTTTATTGGGTTGTACTTTTAGGTTTTGATTGGTGGTGGTTGAGTTGGCACTTTTTAATATTAAAATCAAGGCTTGTATCTAGTGGAGACGGAAGAAAAGGAATATATTGGCTTTCTCCTTTTTATATATATTAAATAGTTTATGTTTTTTAAGTCACAATATTTTATTCTATATTAATATTATTATATATGTTGAAGCAATGATAAATACGTAGTTGTATTTTTCCAAGAATAAAATTTTGGCCACTGATGTTATGTCAAACTTTTCTCAGATTAGAAAAATACAAGTGGATTGCGTGAATGAATTGCACCGGTAGTTTTTTGTTTTAAATAATTCATTTGAGGTCAAGAAATCATCATTGATTAAGCAGTTCATGGTTGAAAGTATTCTTATTAAGTTATTATATATGAGACTTTTCTTTTTGTCTTAATGAATATGTATAGAGTCATAGAGATTAATAATTGAAACTTCCGATGGGACACATAATCTCCTATACATATAAAATACAATTTTAGCACACTACAATTTGAATCGAAATGTAACAATGACAAAATTTATTTATTCGATAATAATATCTTGTCTCCAGTAAAAAACAAGTTAACAAAAAAATATTTGATACTCAATGTTTAGACAAGATCTTCATAGAAATACACACAATAGCGAATTAAGCTAAAGCTTCAGCGAAGATAAAAGTGCTAGATGTAGGCTCGCAAGTGGTCGTTACACTTCTAAAAATGGTCGTTCGTTACACTTCTAAAAATGAGTTTTTAATGATATATATAAACTACAAATAAAATGACATTTAATGGCAGACATTTTTAATTATAGTATGTTTTTAGTAGCGTATTTTAATTGTCACTATAAAATTAATAGATTTAATGGTACTTAACAATTTATGTCACTAATATTAAAGTTATTAATGACATAAAAAATTAAAATACCACTAAAAACTTTATATTTTGTGTCATATATTTTTTTTATATGCCACTAAAGTTTTACCTTATGATTTGAATGATTTGTTTTTGTGTCACTAAAAAATTGAATTCATGTTTCTTATTCCCCTCTCATTAATGAATTAGCGTATATTGTTAAAAAGTATATATGAAATTTGACATTTCCCCCATATCTCTTATACCCGTTTTCTTTTACTTCACACATGTTAGAGAGCAGAGACCAATTAACGTTTTTACCCCAATCTCATCTCTCTCTTTTCTCTCTCATACGAATGTACGATCAATACCACCAGGATACCGCCATCCCCACTCACTACTTCTACCTCCGACATCACAACACCATCGCTGCTACACTACATAACTATGCATCGGAGATTTAGACTTCGAACAACGAAGCTCTATCTCTTCTCCACCCGACTTCACTCAGGTACACTTTTTTCTTCACTTTGAAATTGATTATCGCAACCAGAAGAGAACACCGTTTGGATGTGAGGCTTTAAAGTGAAGTTAATAATCAGTATTAGATAACCAGGCAATCAGTTGATTAGTTTAAACTTCAAAAATAAATACCTAATCTTTTTATTTTTTGTTAGTCAATTTCGATAATACAACATTATGAAAGATCTAGTATGCTCAAGAATCATATTAAAGTGATATTGCTAATTAACATATGACACTAATGAGTTATACTAACAACAACTTGATATAATTGATTATTTATTAGAAATTGAATCTAATAAATATTCAATAAACTCTTATAATTAAATTGGAAATTATTTATTTAATGAAAATAATAATTTTCATTAGCATTTAACATTACATAATTCATATGGTATGAATTAATAAGTCATGTACAACATTTTGGACCATAAAGACATTTTGTCTTTTACCAAAAGGTTAAGGTTTATATTTTATAAAAGAGTTTATAAAAATTACCAAGTTTGACTTCATTTTATATATTTAAAACCGTGGGCTTTCTTTCGTGATGCTAGTTATGGGCTTTTACATATAATAATGAAAAGAATGCATGCTTAAAAGCATGGGGAGACAAGTAGGCTTTAGGAGACATTATTGTTTTAAAGTGTTAAGGACTTATGGTCCATAAATTCACTTTATGCATATAAAAGATGAGGCTTGCACTCATTCTTCCTTGCTTGATGCAAATTTCCGAAAGTTATACTCTTCCTCTCATTCTCTCTTAATTAGTTAAGAACACTTGAAGAACATATGTTTTTACATGCCCTCTTTAAGTTCATATTGGTTATGAACTTAAAGCTTAAGGGTTTAAGAGTTTATGGGCTAACATTTACATCAAGTTAAGTCATTGTTGGTGTCTCAAAGGTTCCACATTCTTCATCAACTTCCAAGCCTCCCAAGAGGATCCAAAGAACAACAAAGGCTGATATTTCTTCATCCTTTCTATGGTTGAGATTTTAATCTTTCTATAACCTGCAAGAAGATCCTTGGTGGGTATAAAATGTTATTATATGTTCGAAATTTTAAGTCTTCCGTTTGCTATATTTTCTAGTTTATGGAACTATTTTTGAACTAAAACCCAACACATTATATTCTCCATCAAATTATCTCTACTTTAAATAATAATCATATATTGCAATTTTAGACAATCAATTAAGCATATAGTGAATACCTACTTATCTATCCATCTAGCTCAACGGATCTTGTCTGATCATTTCTCATTGTGAAGCTAATCTCAAAAAACAATGATACTGTCACAAATTGTTTTACATTTATATGATAACAATATTATATTACTTTGTGAGATAGAAATATAATCAAAATATAAACTATGTGTTAATACATATCTATTATCAGGTCTGGAGATATTAGTATTTCCTTGCAACCAGTTCCTAAAATAATAGCATGATTTTAGCGAGAAAGTGGAAGAATTTGCATGCACAAGGTTTAACCCCACATATCACATCTTCTAGAAGGTGAGTTTTCAGTCATCCTCACAAAAAAATACATGTGTTTTGAACCATAAGTCACTCATTTTCATAAATGAATTGAAGTTTGAAGTTTGAATGGTGAAAATGTCTCTAATCAACTATTTCTTTGTTAAAGATTTGTGTTAATTGACCTAAAGCATCACATGTGTACAAGTTTCCTAAAGCTAAGAAACAGAATGTTTGTTGGGTCAAGCAACAAATGGAATTTTACCAAGTTTCTAAGTGATAAAGAAGGTCAACTCATAGGTCTTTATGGGCCAACTACTTTACCATTATCCATTCCGGTAACAATATTACATGCATATTTATTCTCTATTATGTCTCACATAGAGTGGGTTTATTATTAAACTTAACTTATTTGTTGCTGTTATAGGGAGATATTTAGAAAATATTGAATGTAGAGTGAAATGCAGCTGAAGGAATGGGGTATACACACCAAAACTTATAGCAAGTATAATAAAGATACATGGTGGTGGTAGTAGTGATATATGCATATGTTGGGTAATTTGTAGTTATGAGATGATGAGTTTTTGGCACTTTGGTTTGGTTGTTCCAACTTATTTTAAGGATCGATTTTGTTGTTGACACTGATGTGCACTACTTTATGCTTGTTGCATGATGCACTCGTGTGGATGGTAAAACAAAATTTAGACAAGTGAGGTAAAATTACCTATATACCCCTTATTAGCATTTTTTCCATTCACCTCGTTATTATTATTGTTGCTAATCATCTACCACTCTTTATTACTTTCACTAGGGGTAGATTTTCATATGAGTAATTTCATGCAGATTTAGCAAATGTTAAGGAATTAAACTCGTAGAAGAAAACAAATAATATAATTGTAAGCATAGGATTTCTTGACTTTGTTCATCCCAAAATGACCTCAAACCTTTCATCTTTTTAATTTTGTAATCTTATAGGATACTTTATGGAATGCAGATGATATATTTGGCCTAGAAAACAAGGATCTGAATGTTGATTTTAGGGATATACAATTGTTATGATAATATACAATGACGTCATCCGCCACCGGACGTTTCCGCCGTCTTGTTTCGGGGTTCTGACAGATTGGCATTAGAGCATTGTCTATAGTGAACTAGTATATCTAACCATACAAGATATACAACTATAAATACAATGGGGCTAAAACACTCTGACTAAAAGTATACTTTAAAAATATAAGTATTTTACAAAAGTGTACATACATACATGCATATGAGGAATAATAAAAGGTGTTTAGAGGAGCTGGACATCGTGACTAAACGTAGAGAGTTATGTAATCATATCTAGGGTAAATATAGTCTGATCAACTATATTTATTCGAGATATGACCAACATGTGTTTAGTAGTGGTCAAGGTGGACAACAAATCTAAAACTGACCTAAAACCAAAAGGGTCTAAGAAGAAAACTAAAAAAATAAAATACTATAAGGGTATTTTGATACTCTATCTATTTTCTCGTACTTATATATTCTCGTGCAGACGCCATGGCAGACTTCCATCACCAGGATATCCTATTCCCCCAAATCAGGGGAACGGGGGATGGATAGTGGAGGATCCAGAAGAGGTCATTGAGGAGTTCGAAAAAGAGGAGATCAATGAGTAGAGCGATGAGGATGTCGACAAGGAGGAAGAGGATGATGATTCAGATGCCGAATCCGAAGTCATCGACCCTCCTTACGTGGCGAGGGCACCGGAGCATCGATGGGGCTACAATGGCCCTACGCCCCCTGGGCATACGAGCTGGAGTGATGGAGCCGGCACCGAGGACAGTGTCCACCTTTCGGCATGAAGCGAGCCCTTCCTGTTTTGATCCGACGGATCACAGATATTGACGACCAGGCCTAGACGACGACGAACTGAGTCGGAGAGATGAGAGCTGATGTGGAACTCACGGCGGCACGCACTCAAGAACTTGAGAGGTACTTCTACCCTATGGATCAGCTCGTTGAGGACCTTACTACCGTGCGAGCGGAAGTAAGGGAATACCAGGAGCAACATGCCGCTTTAGAGGAGAGGGTGCGGATAG